TCGAGAGCCACTCAGACAATTTAGAATACAATTCTCCCGCGGCTAGCTCGCTTGACCGACAACCCTTCATTGGGCAATCGGAGAACTCATGCTTGAATAGATTTGCAATTCTGCGCCTTTTCTTTCTAGTGCTCATTCCTTGAAACATGTGTTCGTGGCATGGGCACGATTCCAACCAATTTGTCATCTCCATTGTCACTTTGCTGACAGCTCGTATCATGTGAAAATAGCTGCAGAATAATGGGTCCCCGATCAAGTTAGTAATGTCTGTTGATATCTTTCTCGCTGATTCTTTGTCTTTGTCTCCTGGGCCAGACGCTCCAATGAATTTCTGGGCGTCCCATTCGTTTTTCAGCACTTCGAGAAGGGGGTGGACGGCATTCAGAAAAATCACGACACTGTTCCATCGTTTCTCGTACAAGCGGCCAGAGAATTTCTCAAAGCAGTCCTGAGGGATACACAATCCATGAGGCTTGGTGACGGCGGCGGGGGAGGGCAGCAAGCGTCGAGCATGGTCGCGCTCTCCTTGAAGGCCGGTCCCGACCAGCGACGCATCAGCCTTTCCCCCACCCCGCTCCCTGGGCCCCTATTACAAAGATCCACCACCCCCCTCCTTGTTTGGCTCGGATAAACACCTTTCCATGCATCTCTCTCGGTATTGCTTGTACCCCACAAATTTATCTAGAACCCCCAGCTGGTCGAAGAAATGCCCCCAATTCTCTAGCCGCTCGTGGAGGTCGCCAGCTGAATTGTGGATCAGGTGCAGCGAACCAGGTACGATCAGAGTCCTGAACCAGAGCAGCGCAGCAGGCATGGAGTGACGCATGGGGCCTACCGCATTTTCAAACGCACCGCGGGACCAACAATCGTCGTCTCACGTAGGAGCCAAGCGATTCGCCTGATGTCTCAAGCGGGAGCCGGGGCATTACACAGCGGAGGAGGAGAAGTAGGCGAGAAGGGGTCGGAGGAAGAGGGCCCCCGGGCCCCCAGCACGCGAAATCGCGGCCGTCCGAGTTCTTCGTGGAACGAGGCGGAAAAAAGATGGGCAGCATAGAACATTTCCCTGGCGAAGAACCCAACCCTTCTAAATGCGTGAGGGATGTGCCGAAGTGAACCCGAGTAATCATGCAGACGCAGCCACTGGGGCATTCGGTGAAGCTCCCTACGGGGCCACGGGATGTGCGAGGTGAGGGGTGTGCCAGTGTGCCAGAATGGGCCCGAGTAACCATGCGGACGCGGCCATTGAGGCCTTGAGTGGGGCTCCCCATGGGGCCACGAAGCGTGTGATGGGTGTGCCAGAATGGACCCGAGTAGCCATGCGGGCGTTACCATTTGGGCTTTCGGTAGGTGCCGTAATATACCCCATGCGGACACAGCCATTGAGGCCTTGGGTGGAGCTCCCGATGGGGCCACGGAACGTGCGAGGGGTGTGCCATACGGGACCCAAGCAGCCATGCGGACGCAGCCTTTGGGGCCTTCAGTGGATCGTTGCTGCCAAGAATCGTCAGAAGGGGTGTGCCAGGAGGGACCCGAGTAACTTAACCATGCGGACGCAGCCACAGGGACCTTGGGTGGAGCTCCCTATGGGGCCACAGAACGTGTGAGCGGTGTGCCAGAATAGTCTCCAGTAACCATCGACGCATCCTTTGGGCCTCCGGTGGAGCTCCCGATGGGGCCACGAAGCGTGTGACGGAGCGCCAGAGTAAACCCGATCAAACATGCAGGCGCAGCCATTGGGGCCTTAGGTGGAGCTCGAGCTGCGGCCACAGAACGTGTGAGGGGTGTGCCAGAATGGTCCCAAGTAACCATGCGGGCGCAACCATTGTGGCCTTCGGTGGAGCCCCTATGGGGCCACGGAGCGTGTGAGGGATGTGACAGAATGGACCCGAGTAACCATGCGGATGTTACCATTGAGGCCTTGGTAGAGCTCCTTGTAGACCACCGAACGTGTGAACGGTGTGCCATAATGGGCCCGAGTAACCATGCGGACGCAGCCACTGGGGCATTCGGTGGAGCTCTCTATGGGGCCTCCTGTGTGTTGGGTCCTCGTTGGGTCCTACTCCTCCTCTCCTCCTCTCCTCAGTGGCTGCGTCCGCTTGGTTGCTAGTTGCTCGGGTACGTGTCGGCACGCCCCTCACTCGCTTCGAGGGTTGGGAACAATGTATTTCTGTCCTGGCCATCAAGTCTGCAACGCTCTGAATGACGTCATCGGTCGCATCGTCGTCGCACCCTGTGTCGGCTGATAGTAATCCCGCAAGCCTCCATTCTGGCAGTAGCTTTCGCCAGTCCAGCGATCTGAAGGTTGGCATGCTGATCTCCGTGCCAAGGTCAGTCGTCCATGACACTGTTGCAGATAAATGATCTCTCACGTTCTCAAGAGAGCGCATCTCCATAATATCGGCATGTAGCTTGGCCGCGATTTTGTCTTCCAACCCAGTTTTTCCAGACCCTAGCGCGACAGGAACGCACGCATGGGTCCGGAGGGCCACTTCCAGAGCTTGGTGGTGTGTTGAAAACTCGCCCAGATCCGCTTCCTCCGCCTCCTCGTGATCATCCCAGTCTGGCCGACTCCTGGCCAGCGACTCCGAGGCAATCGCAGCATCAAGAATCTGATCCATTTCTCCGGAGCGCTCCATCATCATGAACCAGTTTCTGCCACTCTGCGGGCTCGAGTCAGCCCAAGCATACACAGGATGTGGCATGGGGCCGCCGGGACAACGAAGAGGCCTCATCGCCATATAGGCCATGTCAAGAGCCACGTGGGAACTACTTATGGTCGAGGCCTTTGGATATGCAGCCCGGCGCGAGAGCTCGGATAGACCAGAATTCGGGAAGATAGTTGACATCGCCGATGGAATTGCATCTTTGATATGCATATGGGATCCTAGCATCCTCTCGAAAAAAATACTGCTGATGATCGTTTTGCTGGAATATTGGGCATGGCCGCCACGTGGCTGCGATGAACGTCGAAGAACCAAACTCATCTGTCTGCAAAAACGGGCAGCTGTGTTCATGATAAGATCTTCCTGGCCAGGGATCGAACTTCGAACGCCACTCAGTTCACGACTTTCTACAATCCTCGTCTTGCCCCGGCCCCTCTCCCCCCATCGTCCGCGAGACCCAGAGGATGGGAACGGGAAGAAGAGGGGCAAGGGCAAGAGGAGGTCGGGGGGTGGCTATTACAAACGGCCCGTGCAGTCCTCAGCAAAATCATCTTCTTCGACTGCCGATCGAATGATCGGACGCCATCTCTGAAGCGCTTCTAAAAGAGAATCAAACATGTCGGCATCCAGTCTCGGAAAGCCCTCTCCTATGCATTCATCATGTTTGTTTGCCCGAGCCTGCGTCCAGTCCCCTGGCGGAAAATCTGGGAAAACATCGATCGGTATTCTCCATCTGCCCAGCCAGAGCATCGAACACCACTTCCTGTGCAATATCATCCACGATATTGGCTCCACGACAACACTGGCCAAAATGTTTTCCCAACTGACGTCTTCGAACCCCCACTCCAAGAGCGCCTCTGACAACGAACTCTGCGAACTCAACTCTCCATTGACATGACCCCTGAGAGAGCCGACATCACCGTCCACGTATAGAAATGGTAAAAAAGGGGCCCCTGAGTTTTTATTGTGGTCCATATCCACGGGGTCACTGCCGAGCGATGGGTAAAAAGCTGATACTTGAAGGGGCTTCTCGAACTTGAAAGCGCGGCGTGCGAGCACAGTGTACCCATCCAAGGGAAAATTGTAGTATTCCTGCCAAATTCGAACTTCTTGAACGGACTGCGCGCCCGGTGAGCCCTCCAAAGGGGATCCGCAAACATCTCCTGGAACAGCATCTACAATCCCTACGATAGAATACTCCTTGGCCAACCTGCCCGTTGCGCTGACCGCTGGGGCACCTGCATTAGATAGTTTGGCAGCCAGGGCGCCTCCATCTGGAAGCCGTAGTCGCATCCGAACTCCATTTTTTTTGCTGCTGCACCGAAGCCGCTGGGACTGCTCGGGCACAGCGCAAATCCATAAAAGGGGCATGTGGCAAAACACGGACAAGGCTGTCTAACAGCTTGGGCAAGCGCGGCGGCAAGGCTACAGCTGGAGAAATATACGTGACAGGTTGGACAAACAATACATACAAGCGTCATAGCATAGCACCGCCTTCGTTCTAGCATAGCACGTCCTTGGTGTTGTGGGGTAGTTCCCAATGCTGCACCCCCGCCTACTTCAGTGCATATTTTCAGGGGAGGTGTATGCGCCGCGCGGGTACGACGGATGTCAACAGTGCGGTTCGTTTCGATTTGCGTCGATATCGAGAAGAACAGAGGGATATCACGGTGGACGTAACAATAGTACAATAATTGGTTTGTGCATAGTGTTGTTTTGGGTAGTTTTGCGCAGGAGCGGACTAGCCGACAATTCGGAATAGTCGAGGGCGCCGCAATCCACGTGCAAAACTAACGAAGCCCCTTTCTGGAGGCGTCTAAGATCCCGATGGGCTGCCACGGCTCCACCGTAGCAGGGTCTGGGTGCAAAGTGAGAAGCGCGCGTGGCACAAGTGAAAGAACAACATAGTGAACAACTGAGACACGCAACTCGCGCGTTGTGATTCGATGTTTTCTAGGGGGTTCCTGGGGGGCTGATCGGCTTTCTGGTGGCCGAAATGCCCAAGCGTTGCACTGGGTTAAGATTGCAATATGTTGGGGGGGGGAGGAATTTGACCCCAGCAATTAGTGGCCCCCGACGTTGGTCATACATCGAGCTCGAAGCGGGGGGCGACGACGTCTACCTGGCCCGGGCGGATTTGACGGGCTGTTTCCGCCTGCGGATGCGCGAGGAGCTCGCGGAGTCCTTCGCGCTGCCGCCGCTGCCAGCGCGGGCTGCCGTTTTGCTGGGGCGCCCGGGGCTTAGCGTCAGCCCGGCCGACGAGCTTTGGTGGCCCTGCTGCGCTGCCATCCCGGTGAGCTTCAGCTGGGTTCTCATCGTGGCGCAGAGCGTGAACGAATGCCACGCAGCGCGGGAACCTGGGCTTTAGCTGCAGCCGCCGCTGGCGGACCGCTGCAGCCGCCGCTGGCGGACCGCTGTGGGCCCGCGGTGCCGGGCGCGGGGGCGCCGACATCGCGCCGCGCGTACGTGGGCAACTTGGGCGCGCTGGGCGCGGACCGCCGCCGCGGGGCAGCCGTCTTCGCGGGCGCGCGCGCGCCCTGCGAAGGGGCGGGCCTCGCCGTGCACGACCGCTCAGAGGCCCCGCCCGCCGTGGGCGGCCTGGGCGTTGAGCTCGACGCCGAGAGGCGCGAGGCGCGACTCACGGCGGCCCGCTACTGGCGGCTGAACGCGGGGCTACGCTGGTTGCTGGCGCGGCGGGACGTCTCGACATATATGGTGGAGGCCTTCGTAGGCGACTGCGCGAGCGTCGGCCTGCTGGTCCGCCAGACCATTTCCGTGCTCCGTGCGGCGTAGAAGTTCGTGCAGGCGCACCCCGCGGGGCTCCTCCCCATGTGGGCCTCGGTGAGGGCCGAGTTCACCGCCTTCCTGGGCCTCGCGCCGCTGTTGATCGCCTCCTGGGGGCTTCCCTGGAGCGGGATGGTCGATGCCAGCGACGCGAGCGAGACGGGGCGGGGGGGCTGTTCTACGTGGCGGGGCGCGGAGGTTGCAGCCCAACACGGGCGAGCGTTTGAGATGTCGAGGCATAGTCTTATTTCTGCCTCCGCCAGAGACGACGACGCAGACCTGCCCGAGGAGGCCTTCGAGGAGGTCGCTGATTTCCCAGAGATCCCCAAGAAGCTGCTAGAGAAGGATAACTGGCGGGGCACTCTGCGAGGCCGCCGGCGATCGGCGGGGCGCATCACCCTGCTGGAGGCCCGCGCGGCTGTCGCGATGCTGCACAGGGGGGCGCATGCTCGGCCAGATGCTGGCGTGCGCAAGCTACACCTAGGACCTAGGCGGCAAACTCGGGGCGGTGCTGGCCTTCGAACGGCGTCGGGCCCGAGATTTTGCAATGTTGATTCAGGCGAAATGGTTCGCGATGTGTATTGGAAGAGAGAGTCGACCAGCTATCAGGTGGATTCCCTCAGACTGGAACGTTGCCGATGAACCCTCCAGAGACCCTGGGGCAGGCCCTCTCCGTCTACCGCAGCCGCCTGGGCTCGAGCTTCGAGCAGGGGCCTCCCCGGCTCGTTCGGCGCGGTAGCCGGCGGCGGTGGATGTGCAAGCGGGCGCTGCCGAGCGAAGTTCAGCTGCTCCAGCCGACTTACCGCCCGCGGGGGTTGACGGCTACCGCTGCTGGGCTGCCGCCGAGCTTCCGGGCCGCGGGCCCCGCTGCCGCGGGCCGCCGCAGGGTGCTGACCGAGTCCGCGGCCCAAAACTCGCTGACCTCCAGGCCGCGCCGCAAGTCAGCGAGGCGCGCGGGGGGCCTCGAGGAGACCGACGAGGGCGAGGCTTCGAACGATCACGAGTCCGAGGGGAGCTGCGAGAGCGTGTCTCAGGCGTTGAAACTTGGGCCGCGGGCGGCGAGGCGCATGGGGAAGCGTGCGAACCTGGGTCCGAGGAGGGGGCCTACCCACCTGGAGGGGAAGAGCGCGACGCCGAGGGCCATGGACACTTACGGGCGCCGCGTCAGGATCGCCCCGGACTTCGCGCGGAATTTCGAGCTGGCCGCCAGCGGCGCCGAGAACGTCGACCGGCTGCCGACCCATCTCACGAACCCGCGGTACCGCGACGGAGAGCACAGCAATTCTGGCGTCAAGCTGCTGGCGGCCTGGATGGTAATCTTCCCCGATTATGGCAAGTACGGTACCCGGCTGGAAGCGGCTGGTGCCTGGCCGCACGCGGAAGCCCCTACCCTTTCCCAGTTGTGGTTGGCTTGGTGTCGGCGCCGATGCGTCTGAACGAGCTGGAGGTGGGGTTGTGGGTGTTGGTGGCTCTCGGGTTTTATTACAGACCGTGCGAGTGCCTGAGGATCCAAGCCGAGGACCCGAAAGCGCCTGTGACGGGCGTGTCGGAGCACTGGGGCCTGCTTGGGGCGCCAGAGGAGCGTGGGGCCCCGACCAAGGCGGGCGCGTTCGACGACAGCCTACTGTGAGACGCGCCTCACTTCCTCTTCATGGGCGCAGCTTTCTAGGCTCTGCGGCAGATCCCCCGGGGCCAACCGCTGTCGGTGCTGGACTACCCGCGCGTGCTGAGGTCTGTCGGGAATGCGTCCAAGCTGATTGGCGTGGACGCGGTGCTCTACGACGTGCGCCGCTTAGGGCCGAGCTGGGACAGGCCGAAGGGGATCCGCACCCTGCGGCAGATCCAGAAGTCATGGCGCTGGGCGACGACAAAAGCCAGGTGTGGCACGAGAAGCACGGGCGCCTGGCCACGCAGATTTCAGGTCACTCCGAGGCCGGGCAGGAGCGCTCCAGAAGATGCGAGGCACGCGTCGGGGGGCACGCCCCAGGGTCGACGGCCGTCGAGTGGCCGCCGCCGCCGTGAGAGCAGGAGTATTTCTGGATTAGTTGTCAGGCTCGTGTGGCGTTGCCAGGGCTGCGGGGTCAGAAGGTGATTCGGCCGTCGAGTGAGGTCGAAAGTGTGGGGAGGCCCATGACTTGGCCAGGCCAGGACAAGGCGCGTGAGGATCATCGAAAGAATGATCAGTGAGGGTGAAGTCATCGCTGCTCGCTTGGCCCCACCCTGTTTCTGTTTTTTTTTTGTTTCGATCGATCGCCATTGGGCCCGGATGGCCCGCGACCGAAACCATCGGGAGCCTTGAGACGGGGGTCAATTCAAACGGGGGTCAGCCAGGACGCCAGATCCTGCAGGATCCTGCGAAGACCCCCTCTGGCTGACCCGGGTTTGGGAGCCGCTCGTGGCCGCGAGGCGGCCGCGCATATTGGCTGACCCAGGTTTGCGAAGACCTGCGTTGCAGTTTTTTTCCTGCATTGCAGTTTTTGGTTTCCTGCTGACCCGGGTCTGGATTGACCCGGGTCAGAAGATCCCCGAAACCACCCGCGGGGTTTGCCCGATCTTCCTGAGAAGGAGAGGCAAAAGGTAGAGAAAGGCAACAGTTGCCCGAGAGCCACACTCCAGAAACTCTTGAGTTTTAACAGGTGTTCTTTGCCCTGAGCCTGGGCCAACCTTCTTGCGAGTGGACTGCGGTAGACGCCCCAGGCCAAGGAAATTCGGGGAATGCCGTGTGTCGATGAAGTTGCGTGTGATTTTTGTATGCTGGGGACCTCCTTGGATGAAAAAGGGCCCGAGCATTTGTTGGCAATGTGTGTGCGCCCAAGATTTGGACAAGCTCGTTCGGATGAGATGTGCAGGTAAGAACTGCTTGTGCCCTCGCTCTAATGCACCGCATTTCCATCTCACGGGGTGGCCTCAAGGTAAAATATGAACAGCCATCGCTCAGCCCTACCCCCCGAAGCTGTGCCCCGTGCTGGCTAGGAGTAACACAGAGCTCGCACGAACCCGCCGGCAGCCGGCCTGGTCCCAGATGGGGAAGCTCTCCGTGTTTCGGGATGCCCGAATCTTCGTGCTATGGGTTGTGGTCGATGGCTTTCTATGCCTCCTGGGAGCCATTACGTCCCAGGGATTTTCGCTGCGTGTTGACTACGTCACTTTCATGTGACATAGAAAGACCCATTGTAGAGAGACCCTCCCAGTAATTTATGTGCGTGCACAGGGTTGAATGGGATTGTCTCTGGTCGGTTTTGCAAGCGTATACATTCTGGAAACTGTTTTCTCCGAAGTCTTTCTCACAGCCCAATGCCAAATCCTATAAAGTATGCCCCGTGTTGAAAAGCAGCGCCGGCACAGAGCCCGCCGCCATTCCAGTTGCGCGTCCTCGGCTGCTTTCTGTCGTTCCTTCCCTCGCCTTCTGAGGAGCAAGAGTGGGCGGACCTTTGCTCAGGATGGAACGCCCGCAAGCGAGCTGCCATCTTTACCAAGATACGCTTGCCGTTTGCCCCATCAGGCCCTCTGCGTTGTTTAACACCGCCGAAGCTTGGGTTGTGGTCGACAGTTGTCTGTGCCTCCTGGGAGCCGTTGTGTCCCAGGGGCTCTCGTTGCGTGTTGACTTCGTCACATTCATCTGAGATGGAATGACCCACTGTAAAGAAACCCTCCCAGTAAGCTTTGTGATCGTCACTTCTTCCCCTTTCTCCCCTTCCTTCCCAACTTTTCCTCCCTCCCATTTCCACCTCGCCACCCCTCCTCCCCTCCCTCACTCCCGCCCCAATCCCACTTCCCTGCTTTCTCCTCCCCCCACCATTCCTCCATTATCCGCCCCTGCCTTCCTTTCTCTTTTCCCCTTGCCCCCAACCGTCCCCTCTCACATCCCTCTTCCTCGCCTCCCTCCCATCCCTTCCTCACTCCTCCTTCGCGTTTCCCTCTTACCCTCCTTCCTTTTCCGTCCCACGCTCCTCCCTTCTTCATCCCCCCCCTCCATTATCCCGATTGACTTCCTCTCGTTGTGCCTCCTCCCTCCCTATTCTTTCCTTTGTTGTTATCCTCCATCCTCTCTCGCTTCCCTGTTCCCTAATTTATTCACGCTCCTCTGCCATGTTCTGTCCTTGCTCCTCCCCTCTTCCTTTTGCTCCTGGGTCCCAGGGAGCCGTTGGACCAGCTAGGACGAGGCCAGGCCTGCAGTTCGGGTACGCGGCTCATTTCGTTGCGCCTGAGCGCCCAAGCGCCAGAACGGCATGGTCTCTCCAAGCCCGAGTCCATCCACCAAACTTTGTCCCTCTTCTCTCCCCCCTTGGTCCTCCTCCCCGTTATCGTCCTCTCCCCTCCCGCCCCCTCCTTTGGTCCTCCTCCCACACCTTGTCTTCATCCCCTCCCGCCTCTTGGTCCTCCCCTCCCCCGCCCCCCCTTGGTCCTCCTCCCTGGCCCTCCCCCCTCCCCCTTGGTCCTCCTCCATCCCGCTCCCCCCTCGAAGCGGCCGTTCGGCTCGGGCCGCGCCCCTCGGCGCGCGCCGCCATGCCGGCGCAAGGGGGGGACGCGCACCTCCGTGACGCCAAGGCGGGAGCTACCCAGATAGAGAAGGGATGATGAACGGGGGAGGAGGAACGAGGAATCGAGGAGGAGAAGCGAGGAGTGAGGGAGAGGAAGCGAGAAGTGAGGGAGGAGAGGCGAGGAGGAGGGAGGAGGAGGGAGGAGGCGATGAGGAGCGAGGAAAGGCGATGAAGAGGGAGGAGGTACGATGAAGCAGGAGGAGGAGGAAGAGGAGAAAGAGGAGGCTAGGCCGACGGCCGGGGTAGGCCCAGGATGTGTCAACGATGTTGCAACTCACCCTCCCGTCCCAGTGCCTCTTCACATCAGTTCCCACAAGCATCCCGTTTCACAACGTGTAGAGTTCCATGCCGTGCGAGATGTTCTTTCCCTCCGTCCCCCAAGCTGTTCTTTGCAAGCCAGTCGGCAATCCAAGCGATCGCAGATTTTTTGCGCGTGCGGGGGCGTAGCTGGCGACGAACCGGGGACAGCATATTTCATCGAGCGAAAAGCCAATCGACAGCGGCCCACAAAAGCGATGGCATCCAGCGCTGGCAGAGCAGCGTGTGCGCCGCGGAAGCGCATCTGGACAAAGAGCAGTCAGCTCGAGGAGATTGCGGCGGTGGCGGAGGACAGGGCCCCGTCGGGGCCCGTGGACGAGAAATCGAGACGACGCCGGCGCGGAGTCGAACTAGTCGTTCGCCCTCGGATCGAGAGCGAGGCGCGGGCGCGGCGCTCGGGTCGGTCTGCAACGCGGGACAGGGGCCTACCTAGACGGTGTTTCTGGCGAGTTCGTGGACCGTTTTCGTCTTGATGTCGTCTTGCAGCGAAGACGGAACGAGGACAGGTCGATGGAAAAAACGATCACAAAACGGGCACAGAAGACGCTGCTCAGGTCGGGCCCTGTCTCGCGAGACCTCGCGACCCCCAGCGCGGGCGGCGAAGTGGCCGCGGGCGCGGGGCGCGCCCCCCGGCGCGCCCTCAGCCGTGCAGGGCCGTGGGAAGGAAGAGCGACACCACCACCACCAGGGGGGCCACCTCGAGCCAGGAGGTCCGCGAGGCCTCCCCGGGCTGGGGCCCAGAGATGTCTCGAGCGAGAGGGGGGCACCACCTCATCAGGGGGACCCCACCCTGGCTCCTCCCGCTGGTGGTTCGTCGTGATGCGGGTGTCGCTTTTCCGTGTTCCCACAGGGAGGGCCGCCGACATGGTGGACCTGCCCGATCTCTGCGGCCTCTCTGGCGGAGGCCGTGGGGCCCGGCGGCAGATCTCGGGCGGCCGCCCCGCCGCGCACCACCTGGCTGTGCCGGGGAGGCGGGGAGGAGGTGAGACCCGGTGCGATGCAAACGCGCATGGATCTCAAGGGACGGGGGTTCATGCAAACGGGGGTCAGCCAGCGCGCCGGATCTTACAGGATCAAGAATCTTGCAGGGCCGGGGTCGCATTGACCCGGGCTTGGGCGCAGGATCCTGCAGGATCCTGCAGGATCCTGCAGGATCCTGCAGGCTCTCGCAGGATCCTGCAAGGCCTGACTGACCCGGGTTTGCACTGACCCGTCTCAGTCAGTCCCCGAACGGAAAGAGTGGGGACGAAGGCTGACCCCGTGAGCGGCGATCGTATTATCCACTCGGGTGTTGTTCGAAGTGCCCCTGGCCCAAGATGCCCCCCAGGATCTGCAAGGAGGCCCCCAAAGTGCCCCAGAGGACCCTTCATGAGGTCCAGGGGGGCTCCAAATGGAGCGAATAGCTGGGGGCAGCTTGGGCCAGGGGCACCTTACGCACCCGATCCATCTTCACGCCCTCGCGTACTGGATTCCAGGGCGCGATCCCGCAGATAGGTCGCACGGTTATTGTCCTCGCGGGGCATCCGCGACGAAAAGCCCCGTATCCGCGTGGTCGCGAATCAGGGGCCCGCTTTGCGAGGCTTGGGCAGGGTTGGCTGGCTGTCTGCGCGGGCGTTGTCCACTTGAGATAGCAGGCCGCCTGCCCATCGGCGGCCGCTGTCGGTTTTGGATCACACTTGTCGTTGGGCATCCTTCGTGGGCAAGACATCCGTACCCGCGGCCTCGCGGTCCGAGCCCCTGGGTAACGATCCCGCGGATAAACGGCGTTGCGTTCTTCGCGGATGCTCCGCGCGGAACGTATCCGTGACACCGCATGTCCCATATCCGCGGTATCGCGCCCTGGAATCCAGACCGCGAGGGCGCGGATACGGATACGGCCGCCGCTCGTGAACCATACCACTCGGGCGTCCATAATCCCCATCCCATGTCGGGGGTCCAGACAGCCCATCTCATCTCGGGCGTCCTCGGACATCTCATCTCGGTCGTCCAGAAAGCCCATGTCATCTCGGGCCGCCGCTCGTGAACCATCCCCTTCCCATCTCGGGCGTCCCGAAAGTCCGGCTGCCCCTCGGGGCGCGTCGGCGCGCTGGCCAGCGAGTTCGTCCAGCCGGCGGGCTCGGGCGCCGTATGTTGCGGCCCGCGCACCGTCGACCGTCCCGCCCCCTGGGAGCAGAAAGAGGCGCAAGCTCGCAGCAGCCGTGCTGCTCGGCTGCACCGTTTCGGCGGGCGCTCTGCGGCGCATCACCAAGCAGCCACATGTTATCCCAACCCGCTTACCTCGGAGGCAAAGATAGAGGGGGATGTAGGGGGGACGCATCGACCGTTTCGGCGGGCGCTCTGCGGCGCATCACCAAGCAGCCACATGTTATCCCAACCCGCTTACCTCGGAGGCAAAGATAGAGGGGGATGTAGGGGGGACGCATCGACCCCGAATCGCACACTGATCGCCGATAAGGGCCCGATGGCCCCAATCCGCCCAGGAACGGCGCGGATTTAGTATCTGAGGCCCATCGCCCATCGCCGATCTATCTGCGATGTATCGCCGATTCCAGGTCAATGCATCCCCCCCTATACCAGTCCCCCCCTTATCGTTGCCCCTCACTGACCCCCCACCCCCCACGATTTCTAAGGCGGGTGGGGGCTCGCTTCGTTCGGGAGCTCCCTAGCGGAGTGAACCCTCACCCCCTCTTAGAAATCGTGGGTGGTGTGGTTAGGGTTCACATGTGGCCACCTCCTAGTCACACTCACACCCCGATCAGCCGGGAGGGCGGGCAAGAGTGCGAGATCGACCGAAGAGCCACGGGGACCAAGATCACAAGACGTCGCGGAATCTTGTCGGTGCCGATAATGGTGGTCACGGTCCATGTCGACCGTCGCCGCTTCGCGAGGCTGTGCCACGAATTGACGCCGACAAAGATCGACGCTGGCCAAGACCGACACGACGCTTCTCCGCGTCCAGTCTTGGGCCTTGTCCCCGTTCCCTTCGCCACCAACAACAGATTTTCGCTGCGCCTCTCGGGGCGCGTCGGCCGGCAGGGGGCGGCGCATCTCCGTCTGGCCGACGAGCCCGGGCGCGCCACCTGCTGGAGAGACTGCGTCGGGCGCCGCGCCCAACGCCGCCGAAGACGGGAAAGGGGCAGTTCGAAGCAAATCAGAGGTGAAAAAGGTACCCATACCGCTACCCTTTTTCTCGTTTTCCACTTTTCGGGGCCTCTTGGGCGGCCCTCGTCGCCACCGCTGGATTCGCCTCGAAATCGTGGTCAGAACGCGGTTCGGGGAGTAGCGGTATCGGTACCTTTTCATTTCCCCTGAAGGGGGCAGTTCGAAGCAAAGAGCGCGGAACGGCATTTGAGCGTTCAAGTGCAATGTGGAGCTGTGTTCGGACGGAAGGAGAGAAGCCTGTGCGGCACAGGGTAGCATGCAATTTTGGCGCGCCGGGCAAGAGAATGTGTATGATGAGCAGGGGATGGAGGATGGTGAGATTGGAATCTACCCGAAACGACGCCACCGCACTGCATGATAATGCCAGCGCGGGTCCCTTCGAAGCTGGGATTCACCTGGCGCGCAGAGGACAAGCATAGACAGGAGCCTTAGCAGGGGCTCGGTGAGCATTTGCGCTCAGGAATGGAGGAGCGAGGGGGATGAGCCAGAGATGGAGCAGAAGGAAGAGGAGGCCCGCGCAGCCGTAATCCGAATTTCATTGGACACGGTAGGTTCGTGTCGCGTCGACGGGGTGGTGACCCCAGCGCGGGCGTTCAAGGTTACACGCCGCCTTTGACCAGATTCTGCCGATATCGAAGGATTTGCGATTTCGATCGGAGAGCCGCGATCGTTCAAGGTTGAATTGGCCATGCGGTGTCAGACACCAACGCCCAGGTCGTCACTACACGAGCGCGACGCAGCCTCGCGAGGAAAAGAAAGGGTTCAGGCAGACCAGCGGAGGATGGTCTCGTGGCGGACCCCGAAGGCGAAGCTATCTAAGAGCAGCGGCGACGACACGGTGTCGTCCGTGGAGCCAACCTTTGCGGCGGACGCCTCGGTCAGGACGTCCATCCTGGCAGATGTCGCGGAGAAGGCCAGAGGTGAGGGATGAGGAGGCGGAGGTGGAGAAAGAGGAGGAGGATGACCCAGATTTCGAGTGCCCCGTAATTAACACCAGTGCTGCCGTTTCTTGGACACCCTGGGCCTCCAGAGGATTTGAAGTCCCCCCAGCTAGAGACGAACTTGCCCGTGGCTCGAAGTCCGTTCGAGAATGAGGGTCGAGCAGTTGGAGCATCATCATATTCATCGACGGCATCATCGCCAGTCATCATCCTCATCATCCTCATCATCATCATCATCATCATCATCACCACCAGCATCGTCATCATCATCAGCATCATCATCAATATTACCAGCATCGTCGTCGGCTTCATAATAGCAACAACTTCAGTGCGGACTGTGCTGGGGATGGGGAAGCGTGGTCGCACAGCCGCAACCGCTGTGCTCAAGCTTTTGAGGGTCTTGCACGTTGCTGTCTCGCGAATTGCGAATTCTTTCAGATCTCTCGCGTGGCGCCTTGCAGACCTTGATAGGGTGGTCGGCGACCTCGGCTGCGCCGCCCGCTTGCCTTCCGTGAGCGTGTGAGTATTCTCCGAGCTACAACAGGTCGTGCCCGAACGTGGACGGTGCGAGTTTCCTGTTCTGGATCAGATCGTGGTGCAGTCACTCGGCGGTGTTCCTCCTCGGTTTGTTCTCGGAAGCCTCCGTGGAGCTTGGATTGTGAATTGCGAGGTCTTTCTGTCGGAGCGTGTGGTGTCGACGTCGCAATAAGTCGCTTCGGACCGCATCGGTTGAGCCCCCGTGCTTGGCGGAGGAGAGTCACGTTAGTGCGTCCTTGGAGGCGAGGGCCGCTATTCAGAATGCATCAGCCAGGCGAGGTGCATGCCATTCGATATCGAGTCGACGTTCCCATGGTGTACCACGCGCGGGTGACGCTCATCGACGTGTCTCCGTCCGAGGCCGTGATCCTGAAAATGGATGGTGATGCCTATGTGGAGACGGTGGCCGCCGATGCCGACGGCGAGGGGATACGGCTCATGCGCGGGCTCGGGGCTCGTCTGTACGGGGTTGCGGAGACCAGCATCGACAGGTTGCGGGCGATGCAATCCGCGGTTGCCATGTGGGGTTTTCTCCGCACCGCGGCGTTGCTGCTGGGTGCTGCTCTGCTGCCGTCGCCGCTGTCTGGGCGGGCGGACGCGGGGCGGGGGCCGCCTGGGTGCCGCGGGCCGCGCGGCTGGACAACCCCGCCGGTGCCGCTGCCGCTGCGGTGGTGCCAACAGGCGGAGCCGCCGCGGGAGACGGCGGCGCCGGTGGGGCTGGCCCGGTGGCTGCTGCGCAGGCGCCGTGCCCGCGGGCGCGGGCGCCTTGGCTTCCGCTGTGGGCGTGCCGCCGCCAGATGTTGCGGGCCTTGCGGCGGCGGCTCTTTGCGGAGAGGGAGGTCCTGCCGCCGTCGGAAATGAACGGCTTGCTGGTGCCCTGCCCGCCGCGGTGGACAAGCGGGCGCGCGCGCTCGAGACCGACAGTGCTGGGCGGCGTCAGCTGGACTTCGCCGACGCTGCGCCCATGGAGGAATGGCCGATCAAAGGCTCACGTTCTACACAATGGCGTTTGGACCACATGCGCAGGAATGCTGGCGGTCCTTCGGATTGGAATTCGAACTGGAAGGCAGAGGCTCGGCCCAGATATTCGGATGCGCTCAGCCAGCCACGCGAGATGAGGCGCCGACTACTGGAGATGGCAAGCGACTGCGATCAGCTCAACACTTCGGAGATTGCCGCCGTCGAGCTGGTGAGCCGCCGAACCTAGCTCATCGAAGAGAGTAGCTACGAGGAGTCCATGGCGGCGCAGGTGACCGCTGTAGAGAAGACGGACACGTAGAAGGCGGCTGTTGCTAGCGATGCGCTGCTGTTGGCGGAGGCCGATCACTCCATGGGAGCGTCGTCGAGCAAGGGAAACTCGTGCTTCTCCCCAGCCTTGGCGGGTTCATCGCGGAGCAGCTGATGTCAGAGGCCACGATTGCCGAGGATCGGCGCAAAGCCCGCGGAGAGCGGGCGGGGCGCGCATAGTCTTTCGGAAGTTTCTCCCTGGCGTGCGCGTGCTCTCCGGCGCCGCCTGGGCGATTCCTGGCATTTTCGCGGCGGCGGCCGCTTTCGCCAATGTTGCCATCTTGTCTGGAGTTCGCCAGCGCGACATCTCCCCCTTGCCTGCCTTTGCGGTGGGCGCGCGGGCGGGCGCCTGCCACGAGCGACAGAGGGCGTCGCGGGGCGCCGCTTGAGGCCATGGGCCCGCGACGGGATTGCAGCCTTGGGCCGGCTGAGCGGCCGCGCTTCGCCACCTCCGCTGCCCCCTGGGTTGGCGGCGCCCGCAGCGCAGGATAGCGCGGGGCGGCGTCGTGCGATGGGTCCAGAAGTTCCGCGCGAAGCGCGAAGCAGCCCTGGAAGAGCTGCTCGCGTAGTCGCCGGGGCACCCGGCCGACTCGCAGCGCGTCGAGCTCTGCAGCGTGGACCTAGTGTCTTGGCCTGACTCGTCGACGG